CTGGCTATGACAAATAATACTGCTATGAACATAGTTGAGGACATGATTGAGCATCCTTTGGGTATATACTCAAAAGTGGTGTTGCTGGGTCTTGAGGTATGTTGTTTCCTAATTTTCTGAGAAATCGCCACACTGATACCAAAGGGGCTGTACCAGCTTGTACTCCCACCAGCAATGCAGGAGTGTTCACTTTACCCCACAACCTCTCCACTATAAGTTGTCATCAGTGTTTTTGATGTTGGCCATTCCTACAGGTTTGGGTTTTTTTTTTTCTTTCCATAGCAGTTTACCATCTCAAAGAACTGCCGACCTTTACTATCATGACTTTCGAGACAGGGTTTCTCTATAGCTGTTGGTGCCTGTCCTGGAGCTAGCTCTGTAGACCAGGCGGGCCTCGAACTCACAGAGATCTGCCTGCCTCTGCCTCCCGAGTGCTGAGATTAAAGGCGTGCGCCACCACTGCTGGGCTCAGTATTAAACTTTTGAGTGGAGAGATGGCTTATCAGTTAAAAGTACTGGCTGCCCTTCCAGAGGATCCACGTTCAGTTCACAACACTCAGAGAAGCTTACAATTGTAAATCCAGTTTCAGAGAATCTGACACCTTCTTTGGGCACCAAATATGAAGTGCAAAGACAAACATGGGGAAAACTCCCACATATATACATATGTATGTATATGCATGTGTATGTATACGTATGTACATAGGTGTGTGTGTGTGTGTGTGTGTGTAGCAGTCTAGGGAGCTGAGACAGTTCAGTCGTTACAAGTGCATGTTGTTTTGCAGAGGACAGCAGACTTAACAGGTGACTCACAACCTTTTCCCTTCAGCTTCAGAGGCTCCATTGCCCCCTTCTGCCCTCCATAGAAAACAGCTCACATGTGCAGACACACAAATAGTTAAAAATAAGAAAAGAAGTGCGTTGGGAATGTAACTCAGTTTCAGTGTAAAACAGTGTTTTCCTAACAACCTTAAAGTCTGGGTTGAGTTCTCAGGCCGACATAAAACCAGTTATCACACAGCCCGTGATCCAGACTCAGACTGGAGGAGGAGGACTGCCACACGATGGAGGAAGGTCATTGGTTAAATAAAAAGAAACTGCTTGGCTCTCATTGGTTAGAAGATAGGTGGGAGGAGTAAACAGAACAGAACGCTGGGAGGAAGAGGAAGTGAGCTCAGACTCCACAGCTCTCCCCTCGGGAGCAGACGCCTCAGAGAGATGCCATGCTCCGCTCTCCCGGGCAGACACACGTGATGAAGCAAGCCGCCAGGTTAGACATGCTGAATCTTTCCCGGTAAGACCGGTGCTCACAGATTATTAGAGATGAGTTGATCGGGATATCAGAATTAGCCAGTAAGGGCTAGGGCTAAAGGGCCAAGCAGTGTTTAAATGAATTTGTTTGTGTGTTGTTATTTCGGGCATAAGCCGAGCAGGCAGCCGGGGTGCTGGGGACGCAGCCCCGCCGCTACAGCCACAAGCTGGAGGCTATCTTGGGCTAAGCCACAATGTGAGACTGTCTCAAAATGTCTAGCATGGGGGCTTTAATCCCAGCAGAGGCAGACGGATCTTTGAGTTCAAGGAAGGCCAGCCTGGTCGGCAAGGAGATTCAGGACAACCAGAGTTGTTACACAGAGAAACCAAAGTAAATAAAAACAGCGATTCTATGGTCTGGTAGGATGGCTCAATGAGTAAAAGAAGTTACCATACAAGTCCTATAGCCCCAGTGAAAGGTGAGAACCAACTCCTGAGGATTGTCCTGTGACCTCCACACATGCTGTAGCACACACACACCATAAATAAAACGTGGACACAAAAGTAGAATTTTAACTGCAATTATGACAAGAAATTCAATGAGGTCAGTTGAATGTCTCGTGATCCAAGGACAAGAATATACTTGGCATTTAGGTATGAACTGGAATTAATTAGGATTAATATCATTAAGGCCTGCAATCTCAATTAGAGGGGAGACTGAGGCAGGAAGATTATTACAAGTTGGAGGCCAGCCTAGCATATGTAGTGAGTTCCAGGCCAGCCTGGGCAAACTTAGCAATGACCTGTCTCAAAAAGTAAAAGAGATGCTGGGTGGTGTTGACACTTTTGATCCCAGCACTTGGAAGGTAATGGCAAAAGAATCTCTATGAGTTCCAGGATTGCCAGGACTTTCACAGAGAAACCCCGTCTCAAAACAAAGTAAAATAGGGCTCATTGGCAGAACAAGGCCAGCCCCAGAGTCCAGTCCCCAGTATCCGACCAACAGCAAAATGAAAGCTTGGCTCAGGAGCTGTGGCCAGCAGTAAGGTTGTGCTCAAGACTGTCCTGTTTCTTACTGATGCACTAAGTCTTACGCTGCTGTCTTCTGATTGGCTCCTGTTTCTTCCCACAGCAACTAACTGGATCCACCTTGAGCATGTCCCACCTCTGCTCAGCACAGCTGCCTCTATTACTAACTGCTTTCCTGGCTCTGCTACCCTGGCAGCTCAGCTCTGCCTGAGCCTCACACCTCCATGGCTGCCTGGTGAAACCCTGCTCAGACCTCACTGTAGTCAGCTTTCCCCTTTACAGCCCACCCCTCCCCTTTCACGTACGGCAGAGGTGGGGGCTGAGATCACAAGACTTCCTCCATCACTCTCTACTTTTGGAAGTTTTGGGGACAATTTCTCACTGAACTGAGGTGTATAGATGTGGCTGGGCTGACTGACCAATGAGCTTCAGGAGTCCACGCGTGCAGGAGGGGAGCCTGCTTGTTTGTCCTGGCTCATCAGAACCGAAATAATCACACAGAAACTATATTCATTAAAACACTGCTTGCCCCATTAGCTCTAACTTCTTTTTTTTTAATATTTATTTATTTATTTATTATGTATACAATATTCTGTCTGTGTGTATGTCTGCAGGCCAGAAGAGGGCACCAGACCTCATTACAGATGGTTGTGAGCCACCATGTGGTTGCCAGGAATTGAACTCAGGACCTTTGGAAGAGCAGGCAATGCTCTTAACCACTGAGCCATCTCTCCAGCCCCCTAGCTCTAACTTTTTTTTTAAATATTTATTTATTTATTATGTATACAATATTCTGTCTGTGTGTATGCCTGCATGCCAGAAGAGGGCACCCTACCCCATTACAGATGGTTGTGAGCCACCATGTGGTTGCTGGGAATTGAACTCAGGACCTTTGGAAGAGCAGGCAATGCTCTAAACCTCTGAGCCATCTCTCCAGCCCCCTAGCTCTAACTTCTTATTGGCTAACTCTTACATTAATTTAACCTATTCCTATTCATCTGTATATCGCCACGTGGCAGTGGCTTACTGGCAAAGATTCAGCATGTCTGCCTCTAGCCACGGGTCCATGGCATCTCTCTTGGTTCCACCCTTTTTCCTTCCAACATTCAATCCAGTTTCCCCTGCCTACCTAAGTTCTGCCCTATCAACAGGCCAAAGCAGTGTCCTTATTAACCAATGAAAGCAACACACAGACAGAAGGACCTCCTACACCACACGCATCTCCACCTCCGGTACTGGTGCTTTCTAGGCAGGCTAAGTTTACTGAGAGTCATCTCCCAGCAGCCCTTGCACACCAGACCCTCTTGCTTAGGCTTCCAGGTTCTGGAAAGATAGACAGCATTTTCTCCATAGTATTTTTTACTCCTTAGGATCTTCAGGCTTTCCTGTATACTGTCTGTCGCTTCTAGAATTGAAGTCCCCAAGAGATAAGATCTTAGTCATTTCTTCTCCAGTACTATGTCCCAGAACCGGTTATGGGTGTTTGGCCTAATATATGTATGTATGTGTGTATGTATGTGCACCATATGGGTGCCTGGAGCCTGCAGAGGTCAGAAGGCTGCATCAAGTCTCCTAAAACTGGAGTTTCAGATGGTTGGAGCTGCCATGTGGGTGCTGAGAATTGAACCTGGTTCCTGGAAGAGCAAGTGTTCCTAACCACCCAACCATCTCTCTGGCCCCTTAATAGTATTTTTTTACTAATGTGATTAACATACCTCTAAGTCATTTTCCCCCCTCTTCCTCTCATTCCTTCCCCCAAATAAAAAAAAGACTAATGCTTGCTGAGGCTGTCAAGCAATTATGGCAGCCTCAGGAAGAGGAAGGAACATGGAAGAGGGGACAATCATAAATGTGACACCAGTCATGGTGGCATGCACCTGTGATCTCAGCTCACAGGAGGCAGAGGCAGCTGGATCTCTGTGAGTTTCAGGTCAACCTGGTCTACAGAGAGAATTCCAGGCCAGTCAGGCCTACAAGGAAGATCTTGATGGCACACACCTTTAATCCTAGTACTCTGGGGCAGAGGCAGCTGGATCTCTGTAAATTTGTGGCAGCCTGGTCTACCACAGGACAGCCAGAACTGTTACACAGAGATACCTTGTCTCCAAAAAACAAAAACAAAACAAAACAAAAACAAAAAAGAAAAGAAAGAACTATACCCTGTCTTGAAAAACAAAACAGAACAAAGTTACTTGAGAACATCTTAAGTATTGCAGTCCTTGTCTACTGTGAGAGGAACTCCTAGAAAAATTTTCCACAGCCCATATCTCCACTACTCCCAGAACTCTTAATTTGGCCTTTTCCTTTCTCACCTCCTTCCACCCCCCCCCCCCCCTTTTTTAAGAGAGAGTTTTTTTTGGAGCGAGTTGTTTGTTGGTTTGAAACTGGGTTTTTTGTTTTTTTTTTTTGTTTTTTTTTTTGGTTTTTCGAGACAGGGTTTCTCTGTGGTTTTGGAGCCTGTCCTGGAACTAGCTCTTGTAGACCAGGCTGGTCTCGAACTCACAGAGATCCGCCTGCCTCTGCCTCCCAAGTGCTGGGATTAAAGGCGTGCGCCACCACCGCCCGGCCCGAAACTGGGTTTTTCTGTCTGGCTCTAGCTGTCCTGGAACTAGCTCTGTAGACCAGGCTGCCCTCAAACTCAGAGATCCGCCTGCCTCTGCCTCCTGAGTGCTGATATTAAAGGCATGTGCCATCACACCTGGCCTATTTTCTGACGAAAGTCCAAACAGTTGAGGATCCTGTGTGAACGCACACTTCCAAAAGGTCTAGGAAGCGGGGACACAAACACGGAATCCCCTGTCCTGTCAGCTCTGTGGAAGGCTAGCCTCAAGGACACGGACAGACTTCTCAGCAGCAGCTGCCTGTGAGGACACCACAGCCTGAGTCCTGGGAGCTGCCATCCATTGCCGGCGGGATGTCCAGCCAGGACCTGAGGTAGGCCCTAGGGGACAGACAGCTGGTTTGAGGAAGGAAGCAATGGCACCATCGCGTCGGTGCCGGTTCTGCAGGAGCAGAGCGGAGGGAATGTTTGGGAAGAGCAAATGAGACCTGTTGCCCCAAATATGTATTTCCCTAAATCTCACACACAGAGTACTGTTAAAATTCAGTCTGCACGCTGGGCATGATGGTGCATGCCTATATCCCAGCTCTAGGTGGATTAGGTTGAAGGCTAGCCTTGGCTACATAGTAAGATTGAGGTCAGCCTGGGCTGCGTGAGATCCTCTTTAAGCTCCCCCTCCCCTGCAGTAATGTTTTCACACATTTCCTCCGGTAAGTTTAAGCCATGGCCCCCTTTGTTACCACTTTCTTGCTTATTTGGGTTCCTTTGTGAAGAAACCTATTGTTAACTGCTTTTAGCTATTCTGTCTCAAGTATTATCCTCATGTCTGTCCATGGCCCGAAAGATAAGAACATGTTACTGTTTTCCAGGGAGTCTGAGAAAGCTTTGTTTCCTGTTCCCAGGCTCGTGTGTTTACAGAGTCTAGGGCAGATAATATACCGCTTGTTAATCCTGGTTATCAATTGCTAAGACACATGCACGGTCAGAGACAGGGCATCTTATCCTTAAAAAAAATTTTAGGTTGATTTTGTATGAACGTTTTTGCCTGCATAATTTATGTGTGTGCCTGGTGCCTACAGAGGTCAGAAGAGGTGCTGGATCCCCTGGAACTGAAGCTACACATAGTTGTGAGCTGCCATGTGGGTGCTGGGAATCGAACCTGGGCCCTCTGCAAGAAGCAAACAGTGCTCTTAACTGATGAGCCATCTCTTCAGCCTGGAGGGGTCTTACCCTTAATAGCTGTCATTTACCTGATGTTCATTTAGTTAATCCTGACATAGCCCCTTAGATGAGGGAAATGAAGTTTCCGAGGCCTGAGGCAACTTGCCCAAGCTCACAGCCCAGCCAGGTTTCCACTGCACCACATTCTCTTGACCTACAATTGGAAATAAAGTTGGAATTTGTTTGAAAACTTCCTCACAGGCCTCCAAGGGTGAGAGGCTGGAAGGCATCTCTGAAGGCCAAACAAAGGCCTGCCAACTCGCCGGTGGGCCCCTTCCCAGCAGGCCCAGTGTCTTAGCTTGGTGAGCCCTTCACTGTGTGCTAGCAGGAGACAATCAGGCTGGTAAACATGGACTTCCTGCAAAGAGGCTCCCAGCCTGTGTGGAGGGAGGGGACAGGACTGACAGCTGGAAGCCCGGTAGCTACCATTCCTGATTTTCATTGCCTGGTCCTGCTCTTCTGTCCCGTACCCAAGCTGGCTGTGCCCAGTACCCTCTCTCACTGCGTCTCTTCCTCTCCTCCCCACGGCCTAGCATCACTGCAAAACTCATCAATGGAGGTGTGGCAGGACTCGTGGGAGTGACCTGCGTGTTTCCCATTGACCTTGCCAAGACCCGACTGCAGAACCAGCAGGGGAAAGATGTGTATAAAGGAATGTAGGTATTCATGGAAGAAATGAAGGCAGGACAGGCTCTGGGAAGGGTCTGAGGTTTCCTTTGCTTCTTCAGGGAGGGACCTGGGGGGCCAGGCTAACTGAGGTGTGCCCAGGAAGGGGAAGAGGTACATCTGGTCACTACTAACTTCCTTTCTGGCCTCTGCTTCTAGGACAGATTGCCTGATGAAGACCGCACGTGCTGAGGGCTTCTTGGGCATGTACCGAGGTGGGCTTCTGAACTCCTGAGGATGATGGGGCGGTGCATGCAGCCCGTTCTTTGTGAGCTTGGAGCACAGTGGTGTGGGTGTTCATCCTGCCCGGGGAGCTGCTGGGTTGGGACCTGAACTATTACAAGGCTCTGAACTACCCCAGCTTCCAAGAGCCTCAAATGTGGAAGCCACTGCTTCTAGCTAAGGCCTCCCTGGAGGTGCTTGGCTGTACTGTATTTAAAGCAAATGCCTCTCCAGCCTTCCCCTGCCCCTCTCCCCTCCTGACGTAGAACGCCCCACAGAGCTGTGAACTCAGCCCCACATGACCCTGTGCTGCTGCTGTCTGCAGCTTCTCATTCATAAGGAGACCGCGGGATACGGGCCGTACGTCGGTGCTGGGAAAGCGCTGATATGCTAGGACCCCTGAGAACAAGGACAAACGTGTGTGGATCACCCAGCTCCCATAAAGAAGGAGACCTGCCCAGTTCCCCAGCCTGCTGCTTCACCATTAGAGATGGAAGATACCAGCAGGACAGACTGCAGTGACTTCTTAGCCATTGTTAGGCAATGTGGTTGCATGTACCTGTGATCCCAGCATTTGAGAGATAGAGCCAGGAGGATCATGAATTCAAGATTATCCCCAGTCACAAAAGGAGTTAATGTCCAGCTGTCCTAGGCTACATGTGATCCTGTCTCAAACAAACCAAAAAGGGAAACAACAAAACATAAACAAACAGAAAATAACGATGACTTCTTAGTAATGGGACACATGCATCCATAAAGAGAACAGGAATTTAGGGACGAGATAGGACTGGAGAGCTGGCTCAGCCAGCAGTGAAGAACCTTTGACCCCAGCTCTCGGGAGGCAGAGGCAGACAGATCTCTGAGTTTGAGGCCAGCCTGGTCTACAGAGTGAGTTTCAGGACAGCCAGAACTACACAGAAAAAAACAAAAAGGAAGGAAGGGAGAGAGGGAAAAGCAAGCACTGCTCTTCCATAGGACCTGAGTTTGGTTCCCAGAACCCATATTTGGGTCACAACTATCTGTAATTTCAGTTCCAGGAGGACTATCTTGAGTCCTCTTTAGGGACTACACTTATACACACACGCACACGCACGCACGCACGCACGCACGCACGCACCATGCAAATAAAAAGTGGGGAACTGGGAAGATAGCTCAACAGCTAAGAGCACTGGGTGCTCTTCCAGAGGTCCTAGCACCCACGTGGCCACTAACAGTCACTTGGATTCTAATCCCGAGGAATCAGATGTGTCTTCTGAATTTGCAGGCATCAGGTATGCATGGGTGCATGCACATACGTGCAAGCAAACACATACATAAAACAATCTTTTACAAAATAGACTCCTTAAAACAAACAAACAAACAAAAAAAAGGGGCTGGCTGCTCTTCCATAGGTTCTGAGTTCAATTCCCAGCAACCATATGGTGGCTCACAACCATCTGTACTGAGATCTGGTGCCCTCTTCTGGCACATAGGCATTCATGCAGGCAGAACACTATACATAATAAATTAACAAATCTTTAAAAAGATAAAAGGAAATGTCTTTAAAAAAAAAAAAGGGAGGGGGCCGGGTGGTGGTGGTGGTGCATGCCTTTAATCCCAGCTCTCAGGAGGCAGAGACAAGTGGGTCTCGGTGAGATCCTGTCTCAAAATATCAAAAGAAGACAGAAGGAAGGGAGGGAGGGAATAGGTGGAAGGAAAGAATGGAGCTGGGCGGCAGTGAACAGAGAGTTCGCAGCTTACACAAGAGGACAGCGTGCTTCATGGTGGCACGCCTGCCATGCTCGTGCTCAGGGAGCAGGAGGACTGTAAGTTCCGTGCCATCCTGGGCTATGTAATCCAAAAATGAGAGGGGTCTGGCAAATTGGCTCAAGCCGAGGTGCTGGCCCACAGACATTAATAATGAATGGGAAGGGAAATGTGTTGGGGAGAGGGAATGGATGCCCCTGTCTTTCCCTTAGAGACTGTGCTGCCTGCTTGACTTCTGCAGACCCGGAGCTCTGCCTGTGGTGACAGACTCCCAGCCTCTTCTCTCCATTTCCCACCTCTAGGGGCTGCAGTAAACCTCACCCTGGTTACTCCAGAGAAGGCAATCAAGCTGGCAGCCAATGACTTCTTGCGGCAGCTGCTCATGCAAGATGGGTAAGGACAGATGACGGGGACACAAAGACCCTGCCCTGCGTACTCACAGACAGTATATGCAAGATAAAATACAGGACAGACAGATATGGACAGAAGTGTTTGCCACTAGCTGATGGATTTTTTTCTGTTTTGTTTGTTCTTCATGTTTGTTTTGTTTTGTTTGTTTCTTTTTTCTTGAGACAGAGTCTCCCTGTTTAGCTCTCTCAGGCCTGAAACTTACAGCGATCCTCCAGCCTCTACCTCCTAAGTGGTCAAAATCATAGCCTTGAGTGGCTACACCCAACATGCTGACAAATTTTAAACGTCAAGCCCCAAACCCTCTCTTCTGAGTCCCCACTTGTCCTCGGATGGTCCTTGAGAGGCTAGCGCAAGAACCTGACACCACATTGCTGTCCTGTGGTTCCTGATTCCATCCCAGGGGTACAAGCTGCCCCAAAAGCTTCTGCTGGAAATCCAGCTTCAATCGCATGCAGTGGCGCTCTCTGCACGTCTAGAAATGCAGGGATGCAGCAAAAGCGAGGGCAGCTTGGTTTAAATACAGTTTCCAAAGACAGAAAAGAGAGAGTCAGGCATGCTGGTGCACGCTTTTAATCCCAGCACTCGGGAGGCAGAGGCAGGTGGATCTCTGTGAGTTCGAGGCCAGCCTGGTCTATAGAGCTACTTTCAGGACAGCTAGGACTGTTGCACAGAGAAACTCTGTCTCAAAAAACCTAAACAAATAAGTAAAACAGTTCTAACTACCAAAAAATGAGGGGCAGAGTGGGGCAGGGCTGGCCCGAGACTAAGAACCTTACTCCTGGTCCCACAGGACGCAGCAGAACCTGAAGATGGAGATGCTGGCCGGGTGTGGGGCTGGAATATGCCAGGTGGTGGTTACCTGTCCCATGGAAATGCTCAAGATTCAGCTTCAGGATGCTGGCCGCTTAGGTGAGGCGCATCCCAGCTCATGGCATCAGCAAGACTGGGACCAGCACACTGCACACTGCACTGCACACTCCACCACCAGCTCTGTGCACACTCAGCTTCTAGGTCAACAGACGTGTTTAACCCTTTCAGACCAAGGAGCAGAAACAAGAGCCTGGATTCTAGAGGGTGTAAGCTCCTCTCAGACCTCTGTGCTAAGGCCTTGATGTTCAGGCTGGATTCCTGAAGATATTTTAAAATGGGGCTTAGGGTACTGAAGAGATGGCTCAGCAGTTAAGAGCACTTGTTGACCCTCTAGAGAACTGGGGTTTAATTCTAGCACATGAATGTAACTCCACACATGTCTGTGACTCCAGTTCCAGGGGATCCAGTAACATCTTCTGTCCTCCTTGCTCAATGCATACATGTGGTACACAAACATACATGCAGGCAAAACACATACACATAAACTAGTCATTGTTTTTCAATTATGAGCCTTGCAGTGGTGGCGCACGCCTTTAATCCCAGCACTCAGGAGGCAGAGGCAGGCAGATCTCTATGAGTTCCGGGCCAGCCTGGTCTACAGAGTGAGTTCCGGGAGAGCTAGGGCTACACTGAGCAACTCTGTCTCGAAACACAATCAAAAACAAAAATTCATGTCTGTTCTTATTATTTATTTCTTAACTTTTATAGGCAGGGTCTCACTATGTAGCCTTGGCTGGCCTGGAGCTATATAGACCAGGCTAGCTTCAAATTCACAGAGATCCACTTGCCTCTGCCTCCGAATGCTGGGATTAAAGGTGTGCCCCATTTTTCTTTTTCTTTTTTTTTTAAACTAGCAGTAATCCTCCAGCCTCAGCCCTCCAAGTGCAGGCTTACAGTGAACCAATAAGCCCAGGTTCAGTTCAGCAAGTCATAGACTTTGAACATGACTCCAAAGTGGTTTAGCACTAAATTCTGCTCCGAGCTGGAGGGGTTGTAAAGGGCGCATGCCCTGGGCTTGGAGTAAGGAGGCAGCTCTGGAAGGCTGAGGAGGTGATTTGCTGGCGGCCTTTAACACTGAGCAGAACATACAGTGTTTCTGTCTCAAAGTGAGAGCAGGACTCAACCACCAGAAAAGACTCCAAGGCGGGCCGTCCAAGGGTTTTCGTTGGCTTGTTTGTTGGTTGTTTTTTCCAGTCGGATTTTTCTGTGGAGCTATTGAGCCAGTCCTGGAACTTGCTCAGTAGACCAGGCTGGCCTTGAACTCAGAGATCCGCCTGCCTCTGCTTCCCTAGTGCTGCGATTAATGGCATGCGCCACCACTGCCTGCCCCATCCAAGGGTTTTAATCAGGCTGGGCGACTCTCACTGAGGTGTTGTTATGCACACGGGAGAGGTCCGCCACTAAGAAAATCTTGGGTACCTGTCTCCTCTCCAGCTGTCGGTCATCAGGGCTCCGCCTCAGCCGCGCCCACCTCCCGGCCCTACAGCACTGGCCCGGCTTCCGCCCACAAGCGCCCATCCGCGACCCTCATTGCCCGGGAGCTGCTTCGCACTCAGGGCCTCTCTGGGCTCTACAGGGGCCTGGGTGCCACTCTTCTCAGGTGAGGCCCTCTTCCTGAGTGAGCCTGGGCCCCGAGGCACCTAAGTGTCTTAGCTAGGGGCCTGCCTACCTGACTCATCTTCCCAAACTGCTTTCCCTCCGATTGGTTCCTGTGCAGGTTACAGAGGTGGGGGTGGGAGTGGGAGGAGCTGGACAGGGGAAGAACTTCCTCTCTGCCAAATGGGGGTGTTTTTCTCATCTGCTGCGCCCCACGGCTGCTTAGGAAGCTGCTGTGAAGGCACCCAGAGTGTCGTCTTTCTCTTCTGCAGAGACATTCCCTTCTCCATCATCTATTTCCCCTTGTTTGCGAACCTGAACCAGCTTGGGGTCAGCGAGCTCACCGGCAAGGCCCCCTTCACGCACTCCTTCATGGCAGGCTGCGCAGCTGGTTCTGTGGCCGCGGTGGCTGTCACCCCTCTGGACGGTAGGTGTGGAGAGGGCTGGGGTTTGGGATTTACGGGCCACCCTGCTCTAGGGACCAGGCTCACACAGTCTATGGAGACAGGGCTCATACTTGCAGGTGAAACAGCCCCAATCCTCAAAACCCTCGTTGTTCAGCCGCTGGGATAAACTCCCCAGAAGCCCTCACAGGAGGACCAGCGACCTTGCTGCTCTGTCACCACATAGGCATTCTTTTCCTTCCTGGTAGTTCTGAGAACTAGCACTGGGGAACTGTGAGGAGATGCTCCCCGTGTGCTGGGGGCCACCCACAGTTCCCCCACTAAAGGCGAGGCAGAGGCAGCTGCTACCTCACAGCGCAGACCTGGCCTCACGGGGAAACCTGGCCTCACGGGGAAACCCACTTGAGTTGCACAAGGGAGACTCCGGTGTTTGTTACTTGGTTTAACTTCTGTTTCACTCAGTTCTGAAGACTCGAATCCAGACCCTCAAGAAAGGCCTGGGCGAGGACACCTACAGTGGGGTCACTGACTGTGCCAGGTGAGCCCAGCGCCCCAGACAACGTGCCAGCTCAAGACCCGTGGCAGGACTTGGAGCTGCTTTGGAGTGTACTGGTCCCTCACTTCTCAGAGAATACAGTATTGGGGGGGGGGGGTGTTTCTGATTCTCCCATGAGCCCCTGTGTTTCTCCCCACTCCTCCAACCAGAGTCCAGACAATCCGCAATTGCTAAGTAGCTCTCCTTGCACACTGCAGTCCTCTTCAAGGAAGGTGTACAAATACTTGACCACGAAGGGTTTAATGGCTCCAGTCTTTGGCCTAGCACTTGAGAGGTGGAGGCAGGACCACAGGTCAGCCTAAACAACCGTGAGATCGTGTCTTAAAGGAGGTAGGAGGTGGCGGCTCATTTGTAATCCTATAATCCTAGCACTCAGGAGGTTGAGGGCAGCCCACGGCTAGCCTGGGCTATGTTCAGAGACCTCCCCAAATCCGACAACAAAAACAAAGTCAAGCTTGGAGAAAAGTCATGAGTTAGTGTGCCTTTAGCCTTCACTCCCAAGGCTCTGCTTTCTTCACAGGAAACTCTGGACACAGGAGGGAGCAGCTGCCTTCATGAAGGGAGCCGGCTGCCGGGCCCTGGTCATAGCCCCCCTCTTCGGGATCGCCCAGGGCATCTACTTCATTGGCATCGGAGAACGTATTTTAAAGTGCTTTGAGTAGTCTCAGGTGGCCTTGCTCGCTGCCACCTCTGGTCCTCCACTTGGGACTAGGAGCATAAGATGCCCACCCTGTCGTACATGGTCTTTAACTTGTAGTGCTACCTCAGAAGTGACCCATTTTACTAAGTGAGTAGAGCCCTCATCTCCTTCCATGAAACCTAGGCTGTGGTACAGTTTACCAGGGGCATTCGGCAGCCTTGGTGTGTTAGGGCAGGCCCAGGCACAGTCAGGACGGAAGAGGGCTGCTCTATGCTAACATTCCCACTGAAGGCAGGCGCAGCACAGCTGGGGACTTAGTGTTAATCCTAGCACTGATGCTGTGACATCGGGAGTGCACCTGGGCTCCTGAGCATCACTAGTGGTCAAATGGACCCAAATGAGCAGTCTGGCCACCTCACAGCTGTCCTGGCCAGATGCCCACCCTGGTATAGCCCTCCCAGATCCCTCCTCGTGAGTGCTTGTGGGACATGATCAGTAATAAAGCTGGGTAAATCCTTGTCCTGTAATCAGCACAGCGGATGACTACTGTGGCTTCTGGGGCCCCACAATTCACTACCGTCTTCACCTGTTACCCAAGAGTGGAGAAGCTGGGGGTGGGGGGGCTTTTCACACCTAACCTGAGTTTGTATGAGTGTCTGTACGAGTACCCTGGGAGTCAGCAGAGAGCACTGGATCCCCAGGTTGCAAGCACTGAACTCAGGCCCTCTGGAAGCAGCAGGTGCTCACAGACCCAGTCATCTCTCTAGCTTCTTCTTTTTTTCATGACAGGGTTTCTCTGTGGTTTTGGAGCCTGTCTTGGAACTCACTTTGTAGACCAGGCTGGCCTTGAACTCAGAAACCTGCCTGCTTTTGCCTCCTAGAGTGCTGGGATTGAAGGCGTGTGCCACTACTGTTCAGCTAACAATCCTGTTTTAAGAACCAGGGCTGGAGACAAGAGCTCTGTACATGGAGACTCTGCTTTTGTTTCCTGGCCACCAAGACCTGAATAATAATAAACTGTATTAATTACAAAACTGACCAATGGTTTAGGCATAGTCCTAGCAAGCTCTTACATCTTAAATAAACCCAATTCTATTAATCTGTGTTTCACTATGAGGTTGTGGCTTACCGGTAAGGTTCTGGCATCCTTCTCCTTCGGCAGCTACATGGCGTTTTCCCGACACTACCTTCTTTCCTCCTCTATATCTGCTTGGATTTCCCACCTTGCTATATACTGCCCTGTCATAGGCCAAAGCAGCTTCTTTATTAACCAGTGGTAATAAAACATATTTACAACATACAGAGGGGAATCCCACATCATAGCTCAGTTAGTGGAGTGCTTACGTAGCATGCTCCCCAGTCATGGGGTCCATCCCCAGCACCTCCTAACTTGGACATGGTGGCATGCACCTGTAACTGCAGCACTCAGGAGGTATAAGCAGGGAGATAGGAAACTGAAGGTTGTCCTTTGCCAATAAGCAAGTTCTAGGCCAGCCTGAACTGCATAAACTGTAACAAAACCATCAACACATCAAAATGGAAAAGAACATGCATTAGTCCCACCTAACTTAAAACCTGGTGGTGGTGGGGACAGATGTGCATGCAAATAACCATCCAACCGGCTTCCTTCTCTGAGGAACCCCACTGCCGGATAGCAGACAGTTGTGCCTTCACCTAAGGGCAAAGGAAAGCATGGGTGCTGGCCAGGAAAGGGCCTGCACTAATACAAAGCTCCCTCCTCCAAAACGTGGGCTTTTTTTACTTTGTCCAAATAAAGCTGCTTTAACAAAGATGCACGGACCATAGGTTGGGGGCGTGGCAGAGTGGTACAGCCTGTTTACCGTGAGGCCCTGGGACCCGCCCTTAGCACGTGTGTACGTGTGCACACACAAAGCTGATATACTGAACAGCCTGTGTATGGTGTCCACTTGGTCACAGGGCTGCAGGAAGGTCTAGTAAAAATATCATTTATCACAGGGATTCAGAAATAGTTCCTCTCTGGATTCCTTTTGTTCCTTTGGTGGTGGCAGTGTGTAGGGTCTTCTTTGTTGCCCAGGCTGGCCCCAAACAATTTTCCACAGGTGTGTGCCACTGTGCCCAGCAAAACTTAACTCTCAAATCAAATTCTCGGTGCCTTACAAAAGAAGCGACAACCAAATCCACATCAACTTTTTGTTTTAATAAATAAAGAGTATTTGTGGCTTAGATTTTTAGATCACGTTTACAGATGAGGACAACTAGACCCAAACAGTAACAGTGAAGTGAGCGTTGCTGGAGGAATGCAAGCCCCACATGCATGTGACACCGATGCAGGGGACAGCATGCACAACTCACTCTAGTCTAGACTAGGAGCAGGGAGGAGGCCCTTCCGTGGTGAGGGCCACGCGGCACCATCTGACCCCTCCAGTCCTGCTGCAGAACAGTGCACAGCTGTAGTGTGTCAGATGAGCTGGGGCTGGGATCCTGCCCACACCACGCGGCCGTCCCTTCTGTTGACACTGGGCATTAGCTGCAGAGGGTATCCACTGATTACCAGGATTAGAACAGAAAGAGGAAGCCACACAGATTTCTGCTGCTCCAGGACTACAGCCTTGGGCGAACTGCACCTCCCCAGGCTCAGTCCAGAAACTTCCTATTGGCATTTGCACCGAACAAGGCTCCCCGGACCTCCGGCATCATCTGTAAAGAAGCCAGTCAGTAAATAAGGACATCAGATAGGGCACAGCCACACGGGAAGGTCAGAGCTAAGCCCATCAGATTCGTCCTATACACTGCACCCTGCCAGAGGGACTTCCACAGCCACACTGTGGGCTCACACGTGTGGGCTTACAAAAAGGACAGGAGAAAGAAAGGCCTGGAGTAATCACCATGTAAGCCTGTCCCACTGTGACACAGGGACGGTGTGTGAACAGCGCTACTGCATCACAGTAGATCAGACACGTTTTTGTTTTTGTTTCTTAAAGATTTATTTATTATGTAGACAGTGTTCTGTCTGCATATATACCTGCAGACCAGAAGATGGCGCCAGATCTCATTACAGATGGCTGTGAGCCACCATGTGGGTGCTGGGAATTGAACTCAGGGCCTCTGGAAGAAAAGCCAGTACTCTCAACCACTGAGCCATCTCTCCAGCCCCCAGACATGTTCTTTCTGAGTGCCTCCAGCCTGCCAGGGATGACCACACAGGGCCCTCAGAATGCAGTTTATGCTGAAGTCCTTGTTAGAACAGAAGGACTTTGCCTCAAATGTCTAGGGCTGTGACCAATCTTAAGGGTCAGATAAAATCTTGCCCAGCATTCCCTAGGAACTTGCAAAACTGGTTCCCACCTGCCAAAAAGAGTCATTTCCATTACCTCTGGCAGAAAAGACATACGGCTATCTGGAGTTGTATTTCAATGCTCCTGCAGGTCTCCAGGCTCTCAGTATCACAGGTCCACACTGGCATCCTCATCCCCCCAGGGTGTTCCCTCTGCCCCCTTTTTTCTCACCATCCTTCCTCTCTTGCTCCCCCTTCTTTGTTCTACTCTCTCTTGTTATCACTAGCTCAGCTGTTCTCTCCCGCTCTCCTAGCCCTGGCCACATCCAGTCTGCCGGCCACGCTCTGTCTACTTCTTTCTCTCTCTGCTCTGGATTCTTTCAGATGCCTGACTGCTCTCTCTCTCTCTCATGTCCACAATACAAGCTTCAACCATACCATGGGACGGTCATGTTGGCAGTTACTTTACTGCGCCCCCTCAAATATAACTTTATGTACTGGTGAAGAACCGAAAGGAGAGAAAGTGTGTGTGTGTGTGGCTAGAGATGGAACAGGGTTTTACTGCCTAGCCCAGGCTGGTCTGGAATCAGCAATCTTTCTTCTGCTTTCTAAATGTTGGGATTATTACAGGTGTGGACCATTACATCTGGCCTGAAGTTGTTTTGTCTCCTTAGGAGACAGAGAGAGGGTGGGGAGAAGAGGGAGACTCCATGCCCACATGCTGTGGAGGCCAGAAACACACATACCTTATGCTGGCTTAGGGTTTGCTGACTCAGCTAGGCTGGATGGCCAACAACCCCAGGAATCCTCCCACACCGGCTTCCCTAGTGCTGCAATTATAAATATGCCATCATGCCTGACTTTTTATGTAGTTTCCTGATATGGAACTCAGGCCCTCAAGCCTGTGAGGCAAACACTTTACTCACTGAGCTACTTATCTGCCCAGCCCAGGCCTGGAGTTCCACATCCACGTAACTCCCATCTGCACTACCAGCTGCCACACTCTGGGTTACCGAAGCTGACCAGGAAAGCGCTATGGCTGCAAGCCAAGCCCGTTCATTCCCAGCACAGTGCACTTCCTTGGAGACTGACCTCAGACACAGTGATCCTACCTCAGTTTCCCAAGTGGCACCACTAACCCCCTGGTCTGGCTAAACTACTCTGCTTTGAGACAGGGGTTCTTTGTGTAGCTCTGGCTATCCCGGAACTCACCCTATAGACTAGGCTAGCCTCGGCATTCAGGTATCTGGCTGCCTTTAGACATGTGCAAACCACACCACTAAATCAGGGCCTGAGCAAGGTAGCGGTGCAGCTGCTGAGCACTACAGGTGTCTCCTTGCAGCACTTGAGAGCAGTGCCCGCTTGTTGTGGAATATTCCTTTACACTGTGAAGATACCTCACTGCATTTGGTTTAATAAAAATCTAAATGGCCAGTAGCTAGGCAGGATTTTTCAGGACAGACAGATGGCTGGAAAGAAGAAGCCAGAGGCACGAAGAGTCTCCAGCCAGAGTAAAGATAAAAAAAGCCACGAGACAAAAAAAAAAAAAGTAAATAGAAATGGGCTGATTTAAGTTATAAGAGCTGGTCAGAAACAACAAGTCTCCTTGTGGTTATTTGAGAGCTGGCAAGGGGGACAGAAAAAGCCGGACTGCATCAGTCCAAAGGTAACCAGAAGCCTTCCGCACTCACCTGTTGGGCTATGAGGTCCAGCCGGCTTTCCAGAGTGTTGGAAACCTTTATCTTGCGATCCCCATTATAGATTTCAACTCCACCAGCTCTACAGAGAACACAGGAAAGCACGGGCTTGACAAGTGTGCATCCATCACGCTTGCACAACTCCCTCGGCACCGGTGGCCGAGGCATGTGAAGTGGATACTAAGGCGACAGCTTCAGCGAGAACTCACACACAATCCCAAGTGAATGCTGAGCACAGCCACGTGTTACACCACGCAGCTCAGTTGCAGCCAGGCCTCCCCAGCAAGTGGAAACTGGCTTCAGTTATCGTAGCTATGAATCAACAGGCAGCCCGCTGACAGACAGGGAGGACAGGCAGAAGACAACAGCTATTGTCTGCCTCTACCCAGCCCTCACTGTCACCCCACTCCTCGATGGCTCTCAGCACACAGGAAGTACACACAAGTCAACTATATTACAATGAGCCCCAGGAACCAGATTCACCTACAGCCAGTTCTGTCAATTACTGAGATAAACGGACTAATGGCCTGGATGATGTTTGAGACAACACCTCACTAGGTAGTCCAGGCTAGCCTGGGACTCACCATCTAACAACCGTCCTGCTCTGCTGAGATTACTGACTGGCATGCGCCATTATATATGGGCTGGGAAAGTTTGTACTTTCTCCTTGGTACATTTCAGTAGATGACGGCTGCAGACACAGCCACTCCCTCTTCACCCTCCACAAAGACAAGACAGTGCTTTGCCGCCATCCAGACTCCTGGCTGTGTCTGGGGGGAATATGAAGACAGCAGGGACAGGAATAAGCAGAACTGAATGTCAGCGTGGGTTTTCTCTCCTGGGTTTTGGGACACAGTGTCTGCATACAGTCCAAACTGCTTCCAGCACTCTACCCCCCACCCGAGTCATAAGGCCGAGCAACAATAAACTATCTTGTCTCAGCCTCCTGCGCATGAGCCCCCAGGGTTTTTTTGTTTTTGTTTTGCTTTTTTTGTTTTTGTTTTTCCCCCTAAGAAAGGGTTTCTCTGTGTAACCCTGGCTGTCCTGGAACTAACTCGCTCTGTAGACCAACCAGGTGGCCTTATACAGAGACTGCCTGCCTCTGGGATTAAAGGCACTTGCTACCAATACTTGGCCCTAGCTTCATTTA